CCAAGTAGCTGGGACCACAGGCGCCCGCCACAACGCCCGGCTGTTTTTTGGTTGCAGCCGTCATTGTTGTTTGGCAGGCCCAGGCTGGATTCGAACCCGCCACCTTGGGTGTACATGGCTGGCGCCTTAGCCACTTGAGCCACAGGCGCTGAGCCATATGTCCGCATTTTAAATGCATCGTCAGCTAGGTTCAAGATCAGCCTGAGCCAGAGCAAGACCTTGTCTCTACAAATAGCTGGGCATTGTGGTGAATCCCAGTAGTCCCAGCTACCTGGGAGGCTGAGGTAAGAGAATCACTTAAGCCCAAGAGTGTGAGGTTGCTGTGAGCTGTGATGCCATGGCACTCTATCAAGGGCAACATAATGAGACTCTGTCATACATAATTAATAAACTGCATCCTAGATAATCCTTCCCAGGTGATTTCTGGGAAACAATTAGTCTTCAAAACATCCTTTCAGTGCTGAAACCTAGGGTAGGGGTTTTAAAGCATCTCAAATTTGTTTCTGGTATGCTGAGAGGTCCTGATGCCCACAGCTCCCAGGCCTGTCACCTCCAGCTGCAGGTGTGCTGTGCAGGGTTCCCTGGGAAGGGCAGGAGCACAGGCCTGGCACACCACCTGGGCCCAGGTTCCAGAGGCTATAGCAGCCCAAACTCAGGGCCTGAGCACTAGCCTGGACTGCGCTTTGCTCTCGGGGCGTTGCTGCTAGTGCTGCCCTGCACCCCGGGCCCCCTTCTCTCACTCAGCCCAGCCACCGCACAGCAGAGTACCCTAACCCAAGCTGGTAGAATTCATGCCACTTTCTCTGCTGCCTGTGTGTCCCAAGCCATCACCTTAGATTTCCAGTGAAATTTTCATCTTAAGTCCACACTGCCAAGTCCACCTTCAGTGCCCCTTGTCTCCAGGACAGCTGAGGCTCGTGTGGTCTCAGCATCCAGCTCCACCCCCAGGTCCTCTCCAGCCCAGGTCCTCTGCACATGCCCTCCACATGGACGCTCTAGACTTGCTTCCTGGATGTATCTTCAGCCAGTCTTGTTCCCAGTGCCACTGTACCTTCCACCTGCTTAGACTGCAGCCTCTGGCCCCCACACATCTGTCCTGCTTACCTCTGTCCCCCTGTCTCCATAGCATGAATCCTGCCTCATTCACTGTGTTGCACTCACTTTTCTTTGTCCCTACCCCATGAGAATTTGAGCTTTGTGAGGATAGGAGTTCAGGAAGTTGCTGTTGGCCGCACTCTAGTGGGATGAGCAGCATGGTAGGGGCTCAGTGAACAGTGAGTGATGGGGTTTGCCAGCCAAGACAATGTCTAAGTTAACACCTATACAAAGTTCCCCAGATTTTCTGCAGGAAGCATGGAAAGAAGAGCTGGTGCCCAGAGGATGCGTAGGGCACCGCCTGGCTTATCCCACAGTGGGTCCCACAGTGGGTGCCAGCAGTGTCCACTGGGCGGCTCAGCTGCTTGGTGACCATGACCTCAACAGTGAGCAGCCTCCCTCTGGTGGCCCGGAGTGGGGATCCCATCTCTGCAGGTGAGCAAAGAGAGTCTCCCTGTCCCCTGCCAACTGAACTTATCCAGAAATTTCTATCTGTTCACAGGATCAACAGTGTTATCCCACTTGTATCTCTTTGTCAGAAGGGGGCTAAACAACAATGACAACTACAACAAATAGCTGGGCGTGTGGTGGGCGCCTCTAGTCCCAGCTGCTTGGGAGGCTGAGGCAAGAGAATCACTTAAGCCTAGGGTTTGAGGTTGCTGTGAGCTGTGACACCACAGCACTGTACCAAGGACCATATACTGAGACTCTGTCTCAAAAAAATAAATATAAATAATGGCGGAATATAACATGACCCAGTTGAAAGGTGAAGAATCTTATTGCCTTACCTCCTCTAGTTACCTGTGGAGTTTCCTTGTTGCCCGGAGTTCCATCCTCAGTTTATACCAGAGAATTAAAGAGCTGTGTCCTCCCAAAAACATGTATGCGGCACCTATAACTCAACTGCTAGGGCACCAGCCACATACACCAGAGTTGGGGGTTTGAATCCAGCCCGAGCCTGCCAAACAGTGACAACTGCAACAAAAAATAGCTAGGCTTTGTGGCAGGTGCCTGTAGTCCCAGCTACTTGGGAGGCTGAGGGAAGAGAATCACTTAAGCCCAGGAGTTTGAGGTTGCTGTGCAGTGTGACTCAACGGCACTCTACCGAGGGTGACAAACTGAAATTTTGTCCAAAAACAAAAAGGTGTATGCAGGTGTTGGTAGCAGCATCGTTGGAAATAGCTGCGTGATGGGGCTTGTGCCCACAGGCTA